CCTAACCCCAAAAGTTTATAAGTGCCCGCGCCTCAACTTTCCTCCTCACAATCCACAATAACCTCTTGTATGTTGAATGACATTAGCCCATTTTGCATTACCTGTTATACCGGGAGCCGGTATGGTCAACAGACAGCCCATTTTTGAGATAGACTTTTACTGTAACTGGATTTTCTCCGTATCTAGTTGGAATCAAGTCAATTCAAGTTAAAAATCTTATTGGAAATTGAATAATCTTTATTCACTTTCAACCATTTCTATATAAATACTCAATTATAGCTAACATAGAACTTTCAACATAGGGTACTATGATATTTAGATAAGTTTCGGTTATAATTTTAATTACAACAATATTTGGAAGTTCATAAAATATTTTATTTACAACTTATCACATTAGGTATAAAATACAACTCAAACTTCAAGTGCCACCATACATATTTTTTACACAACACATGTTCTTAATATAGTCACAAAGAACTGCCACTTAACAAGTCCTCAAAAGTGGGTATAATATTTCAACCTAATTTTAAATGACTTATGCCGATATGGACTAAGATGCTTTGTTTATTAGAAACTTAAGCTTATAAACTATGTATTACAAAAGTATCGCAGCACTATATTACATATATCTTGAGTAGGAGTTAAACAAAAATAACTCAAAAATTTGGGTCAAAAATTACATACATTTAAAAACATAGTTTTTGGAAAAAATATTGCAACTAACGGAATTTTTAGACATTTTCTAATATTTAGATAGATTAAAGCATCGAAACAAATCAACAGAACAATACAGTTCTAAGAAATATTTCAAGATGTAAGTTAATAAAAGTAGTAAAAAATGGTTCATTTTGGTACCTGAGAGGTTAAAAAAGTATGGATACGACTTTTCGTATAACATATTTTCAAGGTATGGTTCTCACGAGTATAGTGTTTGTTTTTTTACTAACGTACATTCAAAACATTTTTATCTAATTGGGGTATATGAGCTTTGCACTTTAATATGTTACACATTGCATAGGTCAAAAAAGTGGATTCCGGTCACATTCCGGTAACGTAACGGTCAGTTTTTTTGAAAAACGCCCATATACCAAAGTACTAACCAGAGAGCTGCCAACAGAATGATTTCAACGCTAAATCTAACGTTTTTTGATAAATTTACCACTGCATTTGAGTAGTTGATATTTACACATTTAGTATAAGTACTTTTATAAATTTTTGCTAATTCAAAAAATGAATATTGCAGTCATAGCTAATGATAAGATCAAATATAGTCCCTGATTTCGTGGGATATTGCTTGTAGAATACAAGGGTTAGCAGCACTGATATTTCTTGTAGATTAAAAGGGTTGGCAGCACTCTCAAATAATGATGACTGTAATCCAAACGAATGACGCAACCGAGGGAACTACAATTATATATTTTACCCAAAATATTGCTAATAATAATAAATATAGATAGATAGATAGATATTTTTAATGAAAATGTAACCTACGTAAATAAAGAAATAAATACGTAAAAATATTACTTTCAAATACATAAATATACATATACAGCCTTAATTGTCTTACTGTTTCACGATTTGGACAAATATACTTACCTTCCTAATTCCCACTGAACTGGCGACATAAAGCGTTTCAGACTCCTGTGTGTTCCTGAGTAGCTGTGCGTATAGGTATACTGTTTGTGTGATGTGTTACTGTTAAGTGTGATGTGGCTCAAAGCAGGTGAACACACATATGGGCTCGCCAATGGAACTGTGGGACCACAATTAATTTCGGAGAATCGTTCCTTTCTCAATTCAGGAGGAATTTGAGATTCTGAAAACCCTCTCCACTTAAAATCAAACTTATTGTATGGCTCGGCGCTGGCTTCGGGGTCGGCACTGGGTTCAGGCTCGGCGTTGGGTTCGGGTTCGGGCTGGGCGCTAGGTTGGGGCTGCAGGCCGGAGGGAAGTTGAGGTGGCCACTCAAAGCCTATAGCAGCGTTTATCGGTGGCACCTCAGTGTCTTCCTCAGACATAAAAAGTCTTTCAGCTCTCCTCGGCAGATGCACTGGCTGAACTAAATCTTCATCTTCATCATCGCTGTCAGCATCCTCTTCACTGCCTGTGTAAATAATAATAATATACTGTAGTCTGTTTTACCTATGTAAACAGATATATATATACTACTAAAAGATAGGTCTGAAAGAAAAATATTCACTTACCATGATTCAAGATTCGGGCAATTTCCTCGTCCCTCAAAGGAGGAGCCCTGACGGCTGATGATGAATATGAAGCCCCGTCTGGAGGAATCCTTAGAAAATATGAAAATCAGTACCAGTATCGTAATAACTAAAAATATAATTTTGCTCAATACAAAAACCAAAAGAAAAACCGATAATGAAAAAAATTGCAAAAATAAAAAATAAATTAAAATTTTAATGCATACAAAAACATTTCTGAGGCATATCCATACTTAGGAAGCATCCCAGAAACACAAAAAACATGGCTGCCCATAAATGTCAAACGTATACTGTTGACGTAACCGGCTCCCGGTATGAGACTATGTACTCCCATTTTCATTACATATTTTCATGTTTTTGAAAGAAATATAATGCTACCTATGAAATATATCAAAACTAATTAATTTTACGTCTTAGATCTAACATCAACTTGCCTTTTCATCCATTTTTGGTTGAAATATGACGACAATAAAATCGTCGTCACGTGTTCGACATTGAACATGCTGATAGTTGCAGACCGATTTTTAGTGAAAATTAACAGAACTATTATATAATTTGTATACATAATCAATAATTACTTACCCTTCCATCGTTTTTTCTAATATTCAGCGAATCACTTCAAGATAAAACACAAGTTTTCACCAACACAAAAAATAAGTAGTCACCTAGGCGATGGCGGAGTTTTGACTGACTCTTGTTTACATTTTTTTCACTAAAGCTGCGCGAGATTTTGGCTTCACTAGTCAGCCTGTTTCTTCTTTATGCATTTGTAACGTGTTAGAAAGGATAGGGTATATACAATGACGTGCTTTAGAGCGATTATGAGAACACACTTACCCATACCGGCTCCCGGTATGTCAACAGTTCCGGCGAAAATGTGTTTATACCGGGAGCCGGTGTTTCAACAGACAAGAGGATAACACATTATTAGATTCCTCGAATGTTTTGTTCGATAAGAACAATAAAATGCTGTCATAACGCAACTTTGGTTTACGTAACATCGATAAGAAACTCGATGTGGGGGCTACAGTCACCATTCTACAGATTTTCTTACTCTACTCGAATTTCAATCATACAGCAATTTAGCACCGCGTCTCCGGCAGATTTTCTTTATAACCTGCGGTCCGGCTAACTTTGTACGTCTGTTTTTATTTGGCTTCGATTCAAAAGGAGCGTTGTCGTACTGCGGCGAATGTCTATACGCCGTTTCATTTTGTCGTTTCAACTGTTTTACTTTTCAATAATATAGTTTTCGTTCAGTTTTTATTGCAAAACTAAGCTAGAAATTGATCGAGTAACCAAATATGAGACTTTGAGATATATCTGATTAAACCTTTTTTATGGTATGGGAGGCAAACGTGAAAGCGCGTTGGACACCTGCAACTTAAGAGTAACAAGAATGTTAAGAATAACACTGCGCGGATGGCGTAGTGGTTTAAGCGGTCGCCACGAAGCTTCCTACTGCGCCGAGTGTTGTGGAGTCGACTTTGTGTGATCCACAAATTGTTGTTCTGATTCTGGGTGTTTTTTGTGGCCGTTTCATGTATGTTTGTAAAATCCCCCGCTACACAGGAATGTATTCCTAATGCGGGAGTTGTCTTTTTGAATAAAATTTATTATTAAAAAAAATGTTTCAGCCCTTCGAGAGAGGGGGGAGAGAGCAGCTCTGGCCATGAAGGTATTGCCATTAAACCCAAATCCCAAATGATTCACCATTCATTCAAAGTATCATTGTAACATTAACCAATGAGGATTGCTGGTGAAATGCTGACTAAGTTTACAAAAGTAACTCTTCGAATTGTCACACCAATCATAACCCTAAAATCTTTAAGTAAATTTTACAGCGCTGTAGGTTTCATCACGTAGTGTCCCATCACCATTAAATCCAGTGGTTGGCTCATGCAGAGCCGATCACATTGTTTAATCTGGGGTACAGTGCCACTCACGTGCTTGCCGTGGCGGAGGGTTGCGGGCTGTCACCGTGTATGGCACTATAGGTTATGGGACTAATCCCTCCCACACGCCTGGATCAACAGCAGTGGCAAACGAACACACCGAGTTATGACACTCGGAAAGGCCCAGAAAAAAAATTAAACTGTCTTGGAACCCGCAAATTAAAAACGCGTCAAATTAGAACTAGCAACATATATCCCAGCCTGCTTCTTCTTCTTGTTTAAGGACAATGTCTAACTTTCGTTTTAAAATTAAACGGTCTAATTCTTATGTGGCTATTTTATCGTTATATATTACTATAGGTCAGCGGACTGGGATGGAATGTGTTCTTTCTTTACGTCCTATCCATACAGGCAGGTTTGTTTCTTGCCGGGTAATCCCACCGATTGTTCCGAGGAATTGTTCCGACTAATACCTAAAAAAATCATCCTCATCATCTGGATAGGTAGTTGGCGCTCCACTATTATGCGCTTTTCGAGACACTTTTTGTCCCGCACAACCAATCTCTGGAACGGGTTATCGTCTGCGGTATTTCCGGACCGATACGACCTTCAAACCTTCAAGAAAAGAGTGTAATCCTTCCTTAAAGGCCGACAAAGCGTTTGTGACCACTGAGTTGCAGACGTTCATGGGTGGCGATGGTCACTTTCCATCAGGTAACCCGTCTGCCCGCTCTAACATAAAAAAAAAAGAATAATCGTACTTTTCACACAATATGTGTCCTGGGTGAAAATCGAATCCAAGGCTGCTAGTTTGGCAGTCAGCATCGCTAACCACTAGACCGACAGGCCTTACACACATATATGTATGGTATAACTTATAACCTTAATTTTTTCTTGTGCTCAAAACTTCATCAAACTTTTCTATTACAAGTAGGTATCCAAGTGGAGAATAATGTGATTTCCCCGGAGGCGCGGTACTCACTATATCACGGAGCTTATTAAATCGTTCGGCGGTGGGTACGTGAGCCGCGAGCAACTCCCGTAAATCGTTCACACCGAGATCTGATAGCGAACACCAAGTTGTACAAGTGCGTGTTGAGCTTTTACAATCATCTGATAGCGATTCAGTTGGAGCTTTCATAAAAGCTAACTCAAAATGATTATAAGATTACAGACATAAAATGAAGAACTGTATCCGTTTGTTAAATTATATTGTTACAGTCGTGAATACAACAGGACAATAGAGACAACAGAATAATACAACGGTGATTCTCTTTTCCCTGATTGTAGGTAAGCAGTGAAACGAAGAGTTGGTTTATATTCGAAAACAAATCGATAAGGTTTTAACGCATTTATCGCTTTGTCCTTCGAATAAAACGTTTTCTTCGACAATCATTTTAAAGTATTAGCGCGACTCTCCGTAATTAATTGGAGAGCGATAATGGCCTGGTAGATAAAGAAGGGAAGTGCCTCGTAATTCTTCATTACTTTCAAGGCACTAAAAATGTATAAAAGATATACATTTTTTAAGACACGTATGTATTTCGGGTATGCCCGACAAGTTTCGGGCCCTAACAATTTGTAAACCGATCTTCCGCGTCGGTGTCAGTCGCTGAACTAGGCATAACAATACACACATCAGTAAAACTGGTGTTCCTTTATAAATATGAATGTAACTGCTAATCAAAAAATGCGTATATACAATAAACAAGGTAATCTTACATAAGCTATAACAATCTTTAGGACAGTACCTCAAAATCTGTGACTGTGATTACTGCAATTATAAAAAATCTAGGAGTTGCCAATTTTAAAAAAAGTGGTTTTAAAAGCTTCATATGTTAAAAATAATACCCGATAGGTAATATTTAATTCATTATATTACACTTCAATCATATAAAGTATATTTTTAATATAAATAAATAATTGGCCAAGAAACGCGACATTACGGTTAATTTTTCCCAAAATAACATAAATTAGTTATTATCTTTTCTTTATTTATATTACTTTAGGCTTTCTATCATTAGATCTATTGAATTAAGTAGTTGTATGCCATTTTTTGAACATACTGTCAACTCGTGGATACCTTAAAGTCACGACTATTCCCATCAACAGCCTTTAGGTAATAGTCCACTGCTGAACAAGCAACAACCTCTCCTTAGCAAGGAGGTTTTGGTCTACTACACCACGCTGGCCAGACGGGTTAACAATACGGAGTCTCACCGCCCCTATTTATGACGTGGGTGTCGTAAGAGAAGACAAAGGAGCAAACTACGCAGGACAACATCACTGCACAGAGAAGGAAACCTAAAACAAACCCTATACCGACGCGTCTGGACAGAGTGGTATAGTAGGCCAAAACCTTTTTTCTAAGGAGAGTCCTATGTCCAGCAGTGGACTATTAAAGTCCATTGATGAGATGATGTATATTCTTTACTCCTTAATTTTACAACCATAAGTGTGGTATTTCTTCTTCAAACTTTAATTTGACTAAACAGGAAGTATCCGTATTCAAAAGAATTTACCAAGTCGGTTCATAAACGACGGGATTATGAGGTAACAAAAAATACCACAAAATTGTGGGCCTCCTCGTTTGTTTGAAGTCGGTTAAAAACAATCGAACATCTATTCCGTCGCCGCCGTTATCTGTAAAAGTTTGTCAGTAGTAGACCGTATAGCGTTGCCTTGATTACTTGATACCTTTTATTTTTACACAATTCTGTGTTCATACTCGTATTAAGTAGACTTCGTGCCGTTGTGAAGTTAGATAAAAATAGAAGCGCACGACTCGCGCGCTACCACGCTCACGTCACAGATAAGAGATAAGAGACAATTCTCCGGACACTAACTTTTACTGTACCACTGCAACTACATTCTTTTATTTACATGAGAAACTCAAACTCTAAATATCTCTATGAAATGAAATAAATGGAATCGTCTTTTATGTAGACTCTAAAGTCATAGATCAGCACACACAATAGCAACAATCTGTTTTGTCAAATATTTAACAAAATAAAAATATACTAATTTTCGAATATCTATTATATGCCTGTGCCGATCTACAACCGCCCGTTTCCAAAGGGTTGGGCCTTAAAAGAAGAAAGGGCAAACAAACTCACGGCTACTCCTTTTTAATTGACAGATAGATATAACGGCATCATTAAATATACTATTGTTTTGACTAGTGTGAAAGTAAATTATTTAGTCCATATTTGCTAGTTTCCGTAAGAATAACTATATTTAACCAACATTTCTGTAGCGACTTCCACATACGATGAAACGTAGAAACATACAGCGCCATCTAACGAAAACTCACCGAACTACTGAGTAAATTCTGTATCGCGATATTAACAATTCTTTTAGTATATATACAGCTTCCCAACATCAACCGTTGGGCCGCGGCCCAAAAGGCATGATCACTCGCCTGGTTGAAGGATCCTCCTTTTGTGTTATAGGGACATGACACCCGTTCCTCCACATTTCCTTATCGTAGAAGCTTCTTGAATAAGAAAGCAGACACGCGGCTGTTGGGCTGTACCTTCTAGATACTGCAATCTCAGTCCTTTTTCTCCATACGAGAGTCACAGCGTCCCATACACTAGTGATGTTCCTCCTATCCCATTTTTCTTCCTAGCTTATCCCGTCTTCAAATGATCACCTTCTTAAGGAGACTTGACGTCAGACAAGCTATGGTCATAAATTACTGGTCATAATTCGACGGACCTGTTGATCTAGTGGTTAGTGATCCTGGCTGCTGAGCCAGAGATCGTAGATTTGATGCCCCATCCAGGACAAATAATTGTGTAATGAGCACGATCGTTTGTTCGGTATTTGGGTGTAATTTATCTATATATATATAAGAGATTTCCACGTATATAGCCGCTCATCACGATATCTCTGGAACCATTAGAGCTAAAGACTTGAAATTTGGTAGGAATATTCTTTTCACCGAGTAGAGGTCAGCTAAGAACGGATTTTAAGAAATTTAAAAAAATATATTGAAATAATGTAAATAGCAAAACAACGTTTGCAGGGTCAGCTAGTCTAAAATATAAATGTATTTAGAAATGTATAAGTATGTTTAACAGCAGTCTGCATGCATAGCACAAGCTCTGCCTAGTTTGGGATCAGATAGCGGTGTGTTAGATGTCTGAGGTTATTATTATTATTATAAAACACACCAGCCGAGACCCTTTACGCTGACCCTGAAATAAAACTGGTCCATAGACATGAAGATGATGATTATTTCTACTCCCAATCATACACATGCGTCTCTTCAAATAGAAGCCAATATTGTTAGTACACCTGAAATAAATTTCATAGCAAATTACTTTCAGGCTATTACTCTATATTGTTTTTGTGGAACAGAGAGCAAACGAGCAGACGCCTCATCTGATGGCAAGTGACTATCATCACCCATGGACACTTACAAGTCACAAGCGCGTAGCCGACCTTCGAGTATCTCTCGGTGGAAAACAGCGAAAGTGGTATCAGTCGACCCGCCCATTCGACGTAAACACTTTGTTTGATTACATTAAGGGTTACGATCAAAGCGATGTTATCCAGAAAACGATATTATTTAAATATTTCCGCTCCCCCTCTCCCGCTCCACGCAAAACGGAAGGGTGTTATAAATTTAACGTACTTATTGTGTCTGTCAAAGGCTGTCTGTAAAAGGATCGAATGATTTGACTTAGTCAAAAAATACGTAATACTGTTTTCCGATCATTGAAGTTTTGTTTAGAAGCAGCAGTGTTTTGTAAATTTTAATGAAAACACCCATTGTCTTCAAACTTTCACAGAGATTCTAATAGTTGAAACTTATCTAAGCGTTTAAATCTTGTCTTAAGAAGATATTACGATTTTTGTACAAGCTCAATTTTATTTTATAGTTAAAGGTGAACCAGCAGAGTCATGGCTTCAATATTAAACTCGTTAGTGCAGACTATTGTCACAATAACCAATAGGTATAGTCTATAAATAAACACATTATATTAGACCGAAAACAAAAATACGAACAAAAATAGTGATACATAAAATATACAAATTCAGTCCCGATTTTATCGCCAAAAAGGTATCTTATCCGCCTTTTTATGAACCTAAGACGTAATGGGACGATGTTACATTTTTAGCCGTCAATGACGTTGAAGAAACTGGGATAAATAAAGAATAAGGAGATAATATTTAAAAAGTCCAAAATCGATCTAAGTGGCGTGCAATGGGAGAGGCCTATGTCCGGCAGTGGACTGCGATAGGCTGATGATGATGATGATGATGATGATTTAAAAAGTTATCAGAATCTGTACCAAACAGGTCGGAGCCAATGCCGTCGAAATTAAGTTCAATAATGAAATTTAAAATATTTAGTAGCTCTTAAACGTCTAGACATAAAGAATCATCATCTAATTAACACATAAAGATTTTTTTAAAGGAATTAATCGTCATCTAAAGTTTTATTTGACTTAGGTACTGGAAATTTGAAGCACCTCTAACGGCTAAATATGAAATAATGAAGATTTCAGACTGTTATAATTTGTCAAAAGTCGGTAATGCTGTTTTAAAATGTTGAATAGAGTTACTAAAATTGAAAACAGTTTAACACAAACAATCTCACTTCTAATATCTTACTTTTTGTAAATTAAAGTTAATAAATATTTATTCTGGCATATTTTAAATGTAAGTTATTCGCCGACCGACGATGCGTACAGCGTGATGTTGAATCTTAAAAAAAAGCCTAAGAAATATTTTAATGTCTTTCCACAGAATATTTTGCAGTAAATATTCAACAACTTTTTGAATTCGTTAGAAAACTTTGCACCGAGCGTCAGTCGTTCCACGTGACCGCCACTTTCACAACAAAACCCAACAAATATTTTACAAAAGATATCACACACATACACTTTATAAAAGATTGGTTCTGCTAAATAGAAAGGCTCGATTATCTGGTCTCCATAAAATGGAGAACCAAGTAGTGAGCGGTCAGCAAAATTGAGACCAGTGTAAGTTAAAACACAAAGATATCTGTTACTTTCAGGGAAACAGTTCGAACAATGGTTTAGATAGGAGACAGCGCGGGTCTAGGTAATATTGCCGGTGGATATACTTTATGTGGCGGTGGATAAGCCACGGCTGTATCGGCTCATT